TGGTATTTTCCAGGAGCCCCTGTGGGTGTCTTGTGCTTCTTATATGCTTAAAAATGGAAAAGGTATGTTGTATGAAACCAAAATGAATGAGTTCTTGTGACTTTCTTTTGATATCTCCTCATTTGCATTTCTGTTACTTTTGTAGCAGCATCAAAGAAAATTACACAGTTTAACAACAATTACATAGATGCAAAAAAAATGTTCTGCTGAGTATTTAAATCTTGCACTTGCAAAACATATTATACCACAACGTTCTGACTACTTTACCAGTTTGATATTTTATTTTCTTCCCGCTGCTTTGATCCATAGAGGCTGAACAAAGTCACCCTGTCATTTAGTATATGTTGAAGAAGTAGGTGCCAACTCATTGAATAACCATGGGAAATGCTAATGACAGCAAATGGTTGTGACCAGGTCCCAGAAAAGGGGACCATGTAAAAATCTGGAATCATATTGCATTTGCTCTCCAAAATCACTCTACTGCAGGTTCTTCACTATAGAATTTAGTGACCAGGCAGCAAGTGTGCTCCTGGCCGAGTGGGAGGCATCTAGAATTTCTTATATAAAAGAGGGGAGTTGAAAGGGGAACTGGTTTGCCCTGTTTGGTGGTGTCTCTGGGAAAGAAAGTGAGGACTTCTTGTATAAAGGGGTCATGGCTCTCATAAAACAAATAAAAACAAGATGGTAATGAAAATGTAACTCCCTAACCTACATGCATCTCTGAGTCTGAGAGAGGTTGTGTTAGGTGGTAGGGCTGGGGATCACAGTGCCTGTCTTTTCTTCTGTCTAAGGATAAAGTTGGGGATCATGGAAGTGGAAGAGCAAAAAAATCATCTAGTTGGATTTGACTGGGTGGAAGGATTAAACCCTTCTGTGGCTACACTGAAGCTTTAATTCAAATCTGTGGCTCATGTAACAGCTATCAGTCTTAAAAACACGGGGAAGGTCTTACCATGGATCTCCCAGCATCTCATCTTTTGTGGTCCTATGAGTCCTTCCAACATTATCTCTAGTGGTGGCATGAAGCTTCTAAACTATAACTGCTTTCCATGCCATTCAGTAACACCAAAGGTCCATGGTGATGTGGAGGCACCCTACTGCTCCAGTACCTATGAGAGAAGATGTGAGTAGGGATGGGCATGAACCAGCTCACAAACTAACATTCCTAATGAATTTTGACCAGTTCGTGAAGTTAAGTTTATGACAGTTCAACTTTCCATGAACATTCAAGCTATTAGTGGGGGTAGTGCTGGTTCATGAGTGGATACATTTCCAGACAGTCTGACTCCACTCAATTAAAAAGTTTACAAAACTTCAAAACAATAACTTGTAGAGGAGCATCTGGGGGAGGTCCCCTGTGACTTTGATGTCTCTAGCTTGCACAGGATCCATTCTATACACTTCTGAATCTCCTGAACCTGTGCCTGTCAAAATGACCACCAGATGCAGATTCAGGAGTGTATCGAATGGATCCTGTGCAAGCTAGAGAAACCAAACTCACTGGGGAGTCTGCAGCTGACTCTCCTCTACCTGTCCTCCAAGTTTGGTGAGGATTGGTTTACAAGGTCTGAGTTACAGCCCCCTTCCAAGGAGGTGCCCCCAGGAGAGCACTTTTCTGGGGGCACCTTTTTTGTGGGGCCATAACTTGGACCTTGTAAATCCAACCCTCACCAAACCTGGAGGGAAGGTAGAGGAGAGTCAGCTGGAGATCCCCTGTGAGTTTGGTGTTTCTAGCATGCCAGGGTGCATTATACTGCCTCATGAACCAGACCAGTTCATGAGATGGCTAAAAGTTTATGACAGTTTGTGGTTCATGAACCAGGCATGTCACAAATCAGGAACCAAACTGAACTGAATTTTTCTGGTTCATGCCCATCCATAGAGATAGCTAAAAGTTTATGACGGTTTGTGGTTCATGAACTAGACATGTCACAAACCAGGAACCAAACTGAACTGAATTTTTCCAGTTCATGCTCATCCCTAGATGTGGGTCTGGGAAGACGAGCTTCTCCCTTGTGATTTTAGACTGTCAACGTTACTGAGCAGCGAGGGCAGCAGCCACTGTGCCGTGGCTCCTGTGCTCCTTGGAATGAAGAGAAAGAGGAGCTCTTAGAACACAGACAACATCTTTGTGCAGCATGTATTCTGGGGTTTTTTCTCCCCTATGGCTATGTAAATTTACAGTATCAATCAGTACTCTAGGCAATCTGCTAATAGCTATATATATATAAAAAGTATTTTTATGGTTGATAAAAATTATATAGCCTTTACATGGAGGCTGTTACAAAAAGTTTGTGTTACAAGAACTGTAACATTTTAAATTGGTTTACCATATGGATGGCCTTGAGGGGGCAAAAAGTTTCTGCTCATATTATGTCTTTCCATCAGCTACTCACACCAATGTGGAAACTCTCCATTCATCCAGGGCCATCTATATATTAAGCAGATTTCCAGTGGCATAGGAGACTGCCATGTCTCCTTTTGGTATTTGCCATCTGTTGTTTTGAAATCTGGCCTTAAATACGGTATGTTACTATGTCAGTCAAATGACAATGTAGTGAAAATTATTAAAATGAAATCTATTATCAAAAATCTATTATTAACATCTTGGGCCTTATTTGCATATTACCTCCTCAGCATGACTCTTCTGCCTGTGGTCCTCTCCCTCCCTCACCAGTAATGCTTGATGTTCCACATGACATAAATCACTTGGATTATGTGGGTGTTTTCTACACTAGTATTGCCCTCAGCATGACTGAGGAGGAAAGAACTTACATGAGCTGAATAATATGGAATTTCAGTTGTTATCCTGCAGTGTGGGAACTGACCTCAGGGAAGCAGCAACTGTATTGCAATGGTAATGTTTATATTCAGCTTTATCATCATTTACATTTGGCCAAATCAATAGAGCTGCCAGGTCTCTTGGTATGGAAGGAGACCTCCTGGCAGCAGTCCTTGACCACTGCTGCCACTCAGTATGGCGGCAGGGAAGATAACAAAAAAAAAATTCCATTGCATTGATGCAATTAAGTCATTTCCAGGGTGAACACAGAAGTGATGTCACACTATTGGTGTGACACTCAGGATAAACAGGAAATCCTATGATAAAACCATAGAGTTTCCAATGAATCCTAACATGTTGCACCATGGCATGACATCAGTTCCAGATGTCTGGGTCTCAAAATCGGTTGACCCTCCCTGGCCCGAGGCTAGCTGCTACCAGGGCCGGGTTCTTTTCGGTGGCAGCCCCTACCTGGTGGAACGAGCTCCCGGAGGAGATCAGGGCCCTGCAGGAGCTTTTGCAGTTCCACAGGGCCTGCAAGACAGAGCTCTTCCGCCAGGCATATAATTAGGGTCCATTGCCGTAGTGCACGGCCCACAAAGTCATCATTGAGCAGCTGCCATAAGAGTGACAAGCAGAATAACATTAAGCACTTTATGCTGGGAGCTGGAAACCCATCTGAAAGCATTCCTTCTGATTGAATTTTAACGGCCGCCAGCACTTTGTAATGTATCTATTTTAACTGTTATGTTTTAATTTGTATGATGTATGTTTTTATCATGTATTTATGTCATTGAAAGCCACCCTGAGCCTGCTTTGCAGGGAGGGCGGGGTATAAATCTGACAATAAATAAATAAAAATAAATAAATAAAATAAATTTGCCTTGGAAATGATGTCACACCTTCAGAATGATGGCATCCACCATGACCCATGACCCAGTCCCCTCCTGGGTGCAGCTGCTAGCCTTGATCTGACCTTCAGATCAAAGAACCCAGTTGCAGTGTTTAATGGCTGCGGTCCTAACTTTTCTAGGAGTAATCCCCACTGAATGTAATGGGACTTACTTCTGAGTAGACTTGCTTAGGATTGCTCCCTAATATGTCTAAATAAGTCTGGCTTTTTAGGGCACACTCTTAAATCAATGCTGTATCTTTTTTGGCTACTTGCTACACATAGTACACACGTTCTTAATATTCATAAGCATGAAATATTAACATAAGTTTAAAATATATATAAATTTTTAATGTTTAAGATACCAGACATTTTCTACCAATGCAACTGCTTTTTAGAATCCTGTGCCAAACACTCTTTGACAGCCTGTATAAAAGATTTCAAGTGCTGACAATAAGAAGGCTATAGAAATCTAAAATGTTTTTAAATTAGTATTTATGAAGCTTGAGGCGACTGTGTATCTGTGAACATTATAACAAAAAAGAAGAGCCCACCGACTTGGCGGTATGATTAGCATTCTGGGTATCAAGCCTCTGCTGGTGAGCACAAAGTTTGATGCCCTCAAAAATGTTTTAAGTAGATGATGTTCCCACTGTGGAATAGCATTAATTTCCCATAAGAATATAATCTTGATGTCAACAGCCAAAGACTTGGATATAAAAGAGGACCTCTGGCAGAGGCAACAGTTTTCTTTTCTGCAAGAAAATGTATGGTTTGTGTTTCCCTGGGGCTTCATATTGTATGGCTGTTGACACACTCACAATTCTGTTTCTGAAGGGTAAAGCTAGTGAATGGAGCAACTATTATGGTTTATGACAAGATCACTGCCTAAAATTTTGTATATATCATGATTTGTATTGCCCATTTGCGGGTAAGCCATAAAAGTGGCCTTTTATCAGGAATATTTGTGAATGAATAACTGTTCTGAAGACATATGGCCAATAAATAATTCAGCATTATCTATCTTGCCTGCAGATTCCTTACTTATCTACCATGTTTTAATGTCTAGTTGGCTTGGAAATAATGCTCTTTATGACACTTGGAGTGCGAAAAATGTTTACTGACTGGCAGGAAATGACAGCAGCCAATGATACTGCCTTTAAAAAAAATCTTTATTTCATCTTTCCCATGACTTTCCAATCTGCTAGGAGCCCTGAGGAGCAATTGCAAGTTCTTACTAAAGTACATTCTTAAGCTCTTTATTTTGCTCTCTGTGCCATGTGACTGAATTCATTGTCCCTCTTCCCTCTTTTGTCTTCTTTTCAGCTCAATATCAATTTACAGCCCCAAGGAGAACCCCAATACTTTTGATGCTGCTGCCTTCTTCCAGTCAGTGGGGAATTTTCTCGGGATCTTTGCTGGATCATTCGCTATGGGGTCTGCCTACGCCATTGTCACTGCTTTAATATCCTTTGCTGGTTGCTGTCAAACATCCCAGATGCAGAACTTTGGAAGATCAGGCACTGCGGGGGGAGGGGGAGTATAACTGTATTTTGTGTGTGTGTTACATTTTAAACAAAACTTCCTAAATTAGAATTTTTGCAATACAACTGAACATGATCATTTTCTTCGTGCTTTGTTTTGACTTTGCATTGGCTCACATGACTGAATGGCAGCTGAACTGGTCCATTGTATTCATATAGCAACCAGTGGTCGGAACAGTGAAAGGTACAGTCCACAGAGCTTCCAAGAATAAATCCTTCTATGATCTATCTTCCCCCTTCCTCCTCTACCTCCCTTCCACTGTCTAGGGAGATAGTTCTTGATGTGTTTGGTAAAAATGTATACCATGAGTTTGTTTCCAGAGCTGATTGAATATGACTTATTCTATTGCATGTATGGAATGATGACAGGAAGGATGAGGAATTGTGTACAGCATAATGAGCACACTGTCGCACAAGCAATCAAACTCTTATTTATTCAGTGTCTCCATAAGTATTGGCAGATTGACAGTCTTTTGAATGTTGAAAGCCAAGGGAGTTGCCTACATTTGTCAGAGCACTTGGCTAGTAGGCCAAAGCAGCATTGCATCTGGCTGTCAAACACAACAGAATCAATAGATGAGCATTGTCCCCAGGGTTTCTCATCACAAGCACACATGAATGTTTTTTCCCCATAGTAATTTCCTGGTGCAAACCTGTCTTGGCTTTCAGAAGGCAAGTGAAAACATTTTTGTATCAGCAAGTCATCTTCTTAACTGTTGATCATGCTGCTAATTTGGCTCTTTTTAAATGATTATTTTGTATTTTTAGGCTAAATTGTTGCTCAATATTTATGTTTTAATGGGTTGATAATGTGTTAATTTTATAGCCCCCCCGGGTGCATGGTAGAAAGGTGAGGCATTTGTTTTTAAAAGATATGCTGATATGCACATGAACACTGAGGTAGGAAGTTATATATTCATGTAGTGTAAAAATTTGAATGGTATTTGCAAAAATCTGATATTGCTTTGTACTCTGTCTTCTCTGAGTGGTGGGAAATTTAGGTCAATCTTTGCAGGATGAGTTTCCTTTGGAATAACAAGCCAGAGACCTCTTTAAATAATTATTTAAGTAGAAATTATGGAAAAGGAAGCACAAAAGCAGCAGAGCCTTCCCTCCTCCAATTAATCAGCACAGCCAAATTCAAAGAAAGTTTCTCCTCAGTCTTCCTAACATATTCTCAGGCCAGGCAAAATTGGTTTCAGGATATGACTACCTTTCCACATTTTAAAGACAACGTAATATGAATAATCTATTGAACAACTATTTGTTGTACATCAGTATCAACTACCAGGCTGTACCAAAATCCAAAAAGAGAAATAGTTTGCCAACCAGAATTACAGCAGCAAAGCAAGGTATGGTTAATGTCTACATGGTAGACTTAATTTGTTAAAGCCAAAAACAGAACATGGAGTTGAAGCTCTATAGTCTATCAGTCCATCAATTTTGAGTTCTTCACAATAGTATGGAGGGTCAGGAGGTGCCCACCACCACTCCGAGGTTATGGGATGCAAGAACTGGGCTCACACTGATGGACAGTTTTGCCAAAAGGCCTGGAGAAAAATGTCCTGTCCTCGTAATAGTAGGTTAATAAGATGATATTTACCTCCATTGGTATGAAAAGCTTCTACTGCCCATTTCCATGCATACTGATGGAAGTGGATGAAAAGATTAGGCAGGAGCAGCATCCTAGCTACAGAGGCAGACAGCAGACATATTCCCAGCAAACATCCTAAGACCAGAGGAGTATGAGGCTAGGTGCTTGGCCCTAAATGCATTCATTGCCAGGGGGCAGAGGGCTGTCTTTAAGAATCAGACGGATGGAGAGGCAAGTAAGACCAATGGAGAAGTACTCTCAGGACCAGAGGAAACAGGGACACAAGAGGTCTTGGTCAACTCATTGGATAGGGAAAACTAAGTCAAGAAAGACAGTCTAAGATTCCCACAGGAGTTGGAGGTATATCACCTTGCACAAAATATTAGGAAATGAAACAATTGTTCAGCTTGAATGCATTAATCTGATCTTTTTCCTAGATCCCAGTAAACCTTATCCTGAAGTAGTGTAATCCTGGGCTAATTTGGAATTAATTGTCTTTGCCTTTTGACTTTGTCACAGGTGCATTTCTGTGGCCTGAAAACATTGAAAAGAGAAGTAGAAACAGAATTAGACATCATGTGGACTGAACTAGTGTTAGAAAGGTATGGGCTTGGGTGTCACCACTATGCAGATGACACCCAGTGTTAGCCAAATTGCCTTATTTCTTAATAAAGAGTAGGGAATTAGAATATTAAAAGACAATAATAACCTGTGTATACCAGAGTCCAATTTATCCAGATCCCCAGAAATAGACGGAGACTAGAGCTTAAATAAAATGGTTTTCTTTACTGAATAATTTCTCTCACACATATAATAAAACAATCATACACTCAAACGATACAGAGCTAGGAATTTAGATAGAAAGGTACAGAGAATGTTGCATTAGCAGGAAAATATCAATGAGAGATGATACTTTACCAGTCAGATGCAGCAAGTTGATTCTGCAGCAAAAAATGGGGAAAATACTAGGGGAGGGGTCATGTGTTAGCCAGCAGCACACGTGGTAGACTCTAGACAGCACTAGGACTAGAGTCAGCAAGTTAGGGTGGGGTCAGGTGAGTAGAAGGCAAGAGAGAGAACAATGGGCAGATGCTCTTCTTATATACCCTAGAAGTTGCTTTGGGCATGTGCCACCAAGTCACATGGTCCCCAGGAAGGTGCTGGAAGCTGCCAGTTCCTTAATGAGGTCAAAATAATGGAATTAAGTGTTGGGCAATTGATTTAATGTTCGCTAACAATGACACCTCTAAGAGTGGACAAAGGAAAAGAAAAAGTAGTCGTTTCAGGTGCTTGGCTAGCCAACAATCCGGTGATCTGCATCATCATCTTTTTTATATAAAAGATTTTATTTTTTATAAAGACAGACATCACACAGACAAAATACATAGATACATATATGTGGGAGGTTCAGTTACATCATCAATTTACATACTTGAATGTTGTTGTTCAGTCACATAGTCGAGTCCGACTCTTCGCGATCCCATGGATCACATCACGCCAGGCCCTCCTGTCTTCTCTCATGCTCTGGAGTTTGCTTAATTTCATGATCATTGCACCGATAACACTGTCTAACCATCTCATCCTTTGCCGTCCCCGTCTTCTTTGACCTTCAATCTTTCCCAGCATCAGGGTCTTCTCCAGTGAGTGCTCCTTTCTCATTTGGGGGCCAAAGTATTTGAGCTTCAGCTTCAGTATCTGGCCTTCCAGGGAACAGTTAGGGTTGATTTCTTTTAGGATTGACTGATTTGATCTCCTTGGAGTCCAAGGGACTCTCAAGAGTCTTCTCCAGCACCATAATTCAAAAGAATCTATTCTTCGGCACTCAGCCTGCCTTATATTCCAACTCTCACAGCCATACCATTGCTTTGACCTTACGGACTTTTGTTGGTGGACTTTTTATCATGCTGTTTAGGTTCGCCATCACTTTCCTCCCAAGGAGCAGGCATCTTTTAATTTAATGGTGGCAGTCACTCTGCAGTGATCTTGGATCCCAGGAACGTGAAGTCTGTCACTGCTTCCACAACTTCCCCTTCTATTTGCCAAGAAGTGATGGGGCTGGATACTTGAATAATTCATACCATATTTGTTTTTCATGTTCTACCTTGTGTTCTTACAAAAACCTTTTGCATATTTTTAAATACAGGTTTTTGTATTCCATGAAAGGTTATATATCTAACTATCTATTATATTCTTCAATCCATTTCAAAATCTAAACCATGTAGTTTGATACATACAGAAGCATTTATGTCAGTATCTAAATAATAGGGGATTTCATTACCTCATCAAATTACCTGTTTAAATCTCAATATTTGTTTTCCAAATTTCACCTTATATTCTTACAATGATATTTCACATGTGTTTACAGGAACACTCAGGCTTCTGGTGTAAAGCATGGCTTCTGCTTGCTGGCTGCTGTGTATTTCTGGCATCAGGGAGGTTGATTTGTTTCCTGCATGGGTGCAGGGGTGAGGAGCATTGTGGGTCCATGTCTGGCTGGCACACTGCTTCCTGGTGAGGCTTCCCTCAGCTGGGCACGTGTCTACAGTCTAGGAAGCTGGCACCATCATCGGGCTACTGCACAGTTCAGTCCCTGGCACATTTATTACACAGTTCAGTTTACAGACATAGTCCATAGCATTATAAATGCTGCGAAAGGCTCTTGCAGGGCAACACCAGTTCTATCTGTTGTTGGGTGACCAGTCTAGCTGTATGCCAGAAGTTCTGGTCCGGGCATTACAAGCCGTGGCTGGTTGGCTTAGACTGAGTCAATTGAAATTAAATCCAATGAAGATGGAGGTCCTGTTACTGAGTCGGGGCAGTCCGGGGCTAGGGATCCCTCTCCCAACCTTCGATGGGGCACAGTTGGTGCCAGTGCCAGAGGTTAGGAGCTTGAGAGTGCTCTTGGATGCCTCAACAATTTGGCAACAGTGATCCATGTGATTGTCACCTTGAGGTTGGACTACTGTAATGCTCTCTACATGGGGCTGCCCTTGTCCCAAATTCGAAAGCTGCAGCTAGTGCAAAATGCTGTGGCCCAGCTGTTGATGGGTCTCCCCATGCGGAAGCACATCCAGCCTGTACTGAAAGCATTGCACTGGCTGCTGAAAGCATACCAGATTCAATTCAAGGTGCTGGTTTTAACCTTTAAAGCCCTATGTGGTCAGGGTCTGGCATACCTAAGGACCACCTTTCCCCACATGTTCCCCAGAGAACACTGAGTTCAGGGACCGAAAATCGGTTAGCCCCCCCCCAGGCCCCAAGGACACCAGGCTGGCTATAACCAGGGCCAGGGCCTTCTCGGTGGCGGCTCCATTCTGGTGGAATGAGCTCCCAGAAGAGATCAGGTCCCTGCAGAAACTTTTACAGTTCTGCAGGGCCTGTAAGACAGAGCTCTTCCACCAGGCTTTTGTTTAGGGAGCCACATTATACACCAAGGAGTGTCCCTGTGCCCTGGTTTCACCACTTTCCATCTTCAGCCTGTGCCCACTGTCATGAATATACCATTACCTAAGTAGGATTTTGGATTTAATCTTTGCTGTTGCTTTTATTAGACCATGTCCCAGCGTTTTAGGAGCATTTTAACCGAAGGCGGTGTTATTTTATGTTATGTTTGTTTATGATGAGTTTTAACTGTATAAACTGAATAAAATAAATAAATAAATAAATAAATGTGAAGTTAAATTTGCTCATTTTGCTCAGAACATGAATGGTTGTAAGCACAGTTGCTGTTCTTTAAATTAGATGCTCCTGCAATCCACAGTTAATTGTAGTTTGCTTATATAACACCAGCATTGTAAACTTGTCCGAAATTATTCACAGGTTAAAACAGTGTCTCTGAATTGTCTACCTTAACACAGATGACCGTTAAATAATTTACCACAATGTGCATGTAACCATGTTGTAAGCTGGCCATCAATAACATCTTGCAGGGGTCATTTCGTAGAAAAAGAGCTAGGGGAACTCATTAGCATAACTCATTAGCATATGCCACACCCCCTGACATCACTGGAAGTGTGTCATAAGGCCACACCCCCTGACATCACCGGAAGTGTGTCATAAGGCCACACACTCTGCCCCCAACGGTCCCGGCCGCCGCCGCCGGCCTTGCAGCTCCACTGCCAAGCCCCATGAGGGGCCCGGTGGTGGACCTGCAAGGCCGGCGGGAGTGCAAGGAAGCCCCGCGAAGGCCCTCCCTGGCCCCAGGCAGGCAGGGGTGGGGAGAGGCAGGGAGGAAGCAACTTACCCTCCCTCTTCTCCTGCCTCTTCCTGGCTGAATGAGGGCCGGAAGCGGGGCGGCCGGAAGCAGGGGGCGGGGAACTGCGATCCCCCGCGATCCCCCCGAAATGACCTCTGCCATCTTGTCAAGTCTTGAAGAGAAGTAAAGGAGTGGTCTAAGCCCTGGTAACCTGTTATGGTAAATACACGTGTATCCTGCCTGTACATTAGTACATATGTTTGTGAGAAAGAGCCAACGTGCATTTGCTTTACAAATGAAACCATGGACCAGAATCTGGATAAATGTAGGGTTTGTATCACATGTTCAGCTGAACATGGGTTGACTATAACATGAGAATTACTTATCGCACATACAGAGAACAATCACATGTACACTGTACATCAATTGTACATGTGTTTAATGTAACATATGAACAGTACTCTAAAGTTTTCTCACCTCTTAATCAGGCAATACAGGTGACTGGCTTCCTTCTGATGTAATCCTAGTGGTGTGGGACCTGTCACAGAGTGTGTGTGACCCTCCCATGCTATTCTGTTCACATCAGATGTTGCCTAGATGGAAGGAGCCCATGACATAGTCCCTTCCTATTTCCCTGCGCTTCCCTGCCTAAAAGTAGTCATATGAGTTGGTCTAGACCAGTTTTATGATATGCCATGTGTTGGACTATTGGATGAAAAATTTCATGTCTCTTTTTATTTATACTTTGTCGAAATTATCTAAGAGTCCATTGTGTTTGATCTGTGACCATAATCTTTTTCTCATAGTTGTATTTATTTCAATGTTGTCACTGAATCAATTTTTAAAATCTGTCAGTCATTGTTCCTCCTTTTCCTTAGCACCATTTTCGTACTTGACCAAGTTTACCAAGCTGTGCGAATTTCCTATGTTGGAAACAGGTCTCTTTTTCCTTTTGTCTTGGAGTGCCTTCTTGTCTGCAGAAGCTGCTGGTCTCACAGGTAAGGGTTCTCACCTCCCTGAACTGGCAGTGATTCTAGAACTTCATGTCTTCGTTCTGATCCAGAGAGGAGGATGGTGTCAGGAGCACACAAAGCCTGATTTGTTTTCCCCAGGTTATAGCCTCCTGTTAAGATAAATGAGGAAGCCATTTCAGGAGAAGGAGCTCCTCTTGTGCATCAGAGCTCTGCACCCGGAACAGCCCACTCAGTTGGAGCGTATGACTCCAGAGGTGAAAAACGAAACATTTCTTTTGAGAATGAGGTTACATAAAGCTTCCAGCAGCTCACTGTTTCTATTTTCATGACAAAAAAAAATGTGTGGGTGGTGGATATACCCATCCTGAAGCACACACTAGAGAGACAATAATGAGTTTCTTCTGTACAGCTTCTATGGGTTTTGCTTATTTTTGAATGTTTAAAGCAATCTATTTTGTAAACCATCAGCAATAGTAGAGGTTCAGTAGATAATCAACAAATACTGACTGCCTTCCCAATTATGTCTGCCTGTTATCCCTACATGAACATTTATTCATGTTTCTTTTGTACCCATTGTCTAAGACTCAGAGTAGATGACATTGACAGTTCGTTGTTTTACAGCATTCTAAATGTCACAAAAGAAATGATTTATCCATATGACACTACAATTGCTGTTAATATTAATGTCCTAGGCTGCCTCTGCTATGAATGACTGGAGAATTGTGAAATCATGTCAGTCCAGGGAAGGAACAAGAGTACCTCAGAGACCAGCTTGTTTATTAGTTTTCCCCAACAGTGAAATATATATGCCCAGCTCATTCACTGACTGAGAGGGGAACTGACATTGCTAGACTACTTCATGAGGAGTTTTGAATTTTGGTACCCAGGCTGGTACTCACTAATGTACTCTGAAATTAATACAAGGGATAGTCCAAGGCACCCAGATTACTGGAAATATCTTGGAATGAGACAGTTGTACATTACACATAATGTCCTCCAAATGGTTAGGTAATTCAAGGCAATTTTCAGTCACTGCAGTGCATGTGGGGAGGGGAGTGCTCGTCCCATTCAGTCATCATGCTGCATAAGCTTTGACTATGTGATTATATCACTGGGAGCAAACAAACTCCAGCTGTACATTGGCTTTGTTTGCCTTCAGTGCCATCATTCCATAGCCAAATTTTGATTTGCTACACAGCAATCCTTATGATTGCTCTAGGTGGTTCTTGCTTGGCATGGGGAATGTAGCAAAAATGGTGCTGAAGCGGTAGAAGACAAGGACAACAATGTTTACTTCTTTTAAGGATTTACATGCTGCTCCATCCTGTGTCACTCAATAGGGAACTGCTTCTAGACTACTCTCTGACTCTGACCTTATTCAAGATGTTGGATGTGGTAAACCAGCTGAGTTAATTAAACTGTGGGATTCACTCCCAGAAGCATAGATGGCTCCAGGCTCATGGAGGATAAATCCATCAGTGGCGAACAGCCATGCTGACCAAAGGAAACCTCCACATTCAGAGGCAGTAAACTTCTGAATACTAGTGCACAGGATGGAGAAAGTGGATGTGGAGAACTTTTCCTCCTCTCCTATAATACTAGAACTCAGGAACGTCCAGTGAAGTTGTTAGGCAGTAGGTTCAGGTCAGACAAATGAAATATTTCTTCACAGCCAGTGTATGTAATGATGGCCTCAAGTATAGAAAGTTTTAAAAGGGGGGGGGACAGATTCATGGAGGATAAGTCCATCAATAGGTTCTAGCCATGAAGCCATGATGAGTAAAGGGTCCTTCCAGATACAGAAAAAGAGAACTTCTGAATACTAGAGCTAGGTGGCTGCATCAGGGAAAGGTGTTGGCTTCTGTGCCCTGTTCATTGGGAGGTGGTTGGCTGCTGTGTGAAACAGGATCTTGGCCTAGTGGTTTAAATCCCCTCTCAGTCAGTTACACCAGGCGACAATAACTGTTTCCAAGGGAGTGAAGAGGGATGGGAAGATCCCACTGTGAGTATTAAAATTTTCCTGTAATTTTGATGGATTAAATTACATTAACTCAATGGGTAACATCTTTATAACTCATAAGGGAGAAATTGATGAAGAAGAAACCAAATGTTGATACCTATGAGACATGCAAAAAAATTCTCCAGATGTGTGAATGCTGATCTGATGCCAAGTGAGAGTTAGATTCTATAATTTCTTAAAGAAAATTAATCTTAAAGCTGGAATAATATTTTGGTCTCAATCTGTTTATAAAATATGGGGAAATTGGGGTTTGCTGCAGTGGAAATATAGATGCCACCAACTTTGACTGTAGTGCTTGAGGCACAGCTGCTATAAAGGTAAATTCCATTTTTAGGCAGCTGGAACATGCTGTACAACCAACCAGAATATAATTGGCACATGTCATATTTTCACACCCCAAGTGACATATTCTCGTTTCTCCCTTCAGTCAGCTTGGAGTGTGTTTCATCTTGTTCTTTTAAATTATAAATTGTCTGAGGTCATAGCACTAATTTTGGGGTGTGGTATTGTGGACAAACTATTTTTATACTTACATAGTTACTGTACTTACATACTTACTGCAGTAAATGCTTTCTGTGGCTCAAATGTAAGCAAGTGGACAAGTTCAAATTGAATCAGAAGGTTTTTTTAAAAAAACGTTTTCACAAAATTAAACCGATGCTTATAAACAGAAGAAATCTGCTTGAAGATTTTTGAAAGGAAATTGGTTTATCATAAGTAAATCACAAGCCAAACAGACCCAGCCTTTCTAATTCTATCATTTGATCCCCCCCCCCCACTCATTCACACTATCAGTATTAGCAGATGGGGGCAGGCATTCTTTCTCAGTCTACATCACAGGGCTGTTGTGAGGATAAAATGGAAGAGGGGAGAACAACGGCCTGGGTTCCTTGGAGGAAGAATAGGATAAAAATATAACAAGGAGATAGAATAGACAGAAATAAAACAGTAGAATATGTTGCTGCTTTGGAAATTGTTTATAGGACACCCAGGGTAAGGGAGTAATACCAGATGTTCAATCAGCTAGTTTCAATATTATTTTGTTCCTAGGTGCCCTGGCAGCCAACAAATCAAACCCGATGAATCCCAATGTAATTGTAAACTGCTTGCATAAAGTAACATGTGTAATTCAGCAGTTTTTAACCACTGAAAACTTCAATTTCATAAGATGCTGACCCATTTTGTAAAAATACTGAGTCTGCTAGAATCGCCATGTGCACAGTCCTGGGGTCTGCTCTCTGTGTGCCTTCCCTGTGCCCAGCATCTGTACAATCACATTTTACACAGAAACACTCAAGCATATGGACACACATTCACAAATACACCCACCGATATATCAATGGAGCTGAGGATTCTGCTTTCCATATTTCTTCCATTATGAACTCACAGGATTTGTTGCTTGGAGATCAAGGGCAATCTTGTTTATAACTCAACACTGTATGGAACATTGGGATACAGAGAACAAAATTCAGGCTCCATCTTTGTTGGTGTTATAGTGTGTGAAGTTGAGCTCTGTTAAATTGCAGTAGTTCTGTTGTAATGACAATGACCCCAGCAAGTACAACCGAAGACACTCAGCTGTCTTTAGAACAGGTTGCCATCGCTGTGTGCTTGGATGTCATTGCAAAGTGTCAGGTCCCTGGATGAGTGCCCTAGATGTTTAACTCAGCCAGTCTTCTGATGCTTCCTGTCAGCCTGCACACTGTCAGGCTTCCTAGTTTTTATTGGTGCAGTGCAATTGCAAAAAGCCTCAGAGCGACACTCTGACATCCAGTTGTGTGGGACATTCCAATTAAAATACTTCTTGAAGGTATTTTCTCCCCAGTTTTGATTTGATGCAAACTGCCCAGAAGTACTGATTTAGGTTTATTGTGCGAAGACTCTCTTTTTACTCACAAGAAATCAATCTCAGATCATGGACTGTATTTTCTTTTACGTATCAACCATTTCCAGTACAGCACACCTGTTTGAAAGACTGCAGTTATTTTTTGCCTTGATAGGTATATATATATATATTCTGTTAATTTGTAGATTGTCCTTTGCATATGCAAGTACAAAAGCAACTGGTCTCTCACCAAAACAATTATTGTTTGAAACAAAACCCCTGTGAACTAAAGAACTAAAGATGTTTGCTCCCCTATCCTACTAAAGTTAGCTATGACTTCTTGGATATCAACTCAGTGGAATTTACTCCCAAGAAAGTATACAAAGGGTTTACAGCCTTAGTCCCACTGAAACAAGTTAATTGTAAATGACTGATATGCCATTGTTCACATTTGGAATAAGTTATGATTAACTTTAGCTAGGTTGGAATCTTGGTGTCAACATTACAGCAGTCAAAGCAGAAAAGGCTCTTGTTGGGGGATAAACAGTGCAAAAATTTAGAAGAGAAGAGATTGGATTTAGCAGTTCTGCATTCTGGAACTAGGATAGGACAGGACTGTTCTGGTTCTTCAGGTTCACAGAGTTACATTAGACTTGTCAAGATGTCAGTGATTTGTTCTTCTTGGGTCTCAGTCTAGTTTGTCATGAGTCTAACTGCCATAGAAAAGTAATGTGAAGACATGAAGCTGCCTTATACTGAGTCAGACCATTGGTCTACAAAGGTCAATATTGTCCATCATATATATATTTACTAGCAGTAAAGCCCGTTGTGGAAATAAATACAACGAGATCTAGAAAGAGGCTCTGGGGGAGTGCTCTGGCTTTGGGCAAACAGTGTCATTTTGCTGTGGTGACCTCAGCAGGGTATAATGGCAGAGTCCACTGTTTTCTCCAGAGGAACTGATCTCTGCTCCCTGAAGAGCAGTTGTAATTTTGAGTGATCTGTAGCCCTCACCTGGAAATTGGCAACAATTGTTACCTAGGACGAAATGGCTGGTTTGGAGGGTGGAGTCTATGGCATTCTACCTGTCTGAGGTCCCACCCCTCCGCAAACCCCACCCTCTCCAGGCTCCACCCCTCAAATCCCCAGGAATTTGCCAGCCTGGAGTTGGCAACCCCA